CAGGTGGAAAGGGTTTTACTGAAAAAGCCATGGCTCCAAATTCTGGAAGGTGCCGTCCACACTGCAGATAAGCTACACTTCTGAGCCTTGCTGACCTATTACCCATGGTGGATAATGATCCTTCTTGAATTAATCTATTGACCAGGGAAGTTACATAATTTCCTTTAGCAAAATACTAAAATCATAGAGTCATATAACATGGTTTCAGTGTTTCTATACCTCATGAAAAATTATATTCTTTCAAGGGTTACATTATATTAATGAGAAATTGTCTTTTTATTTCCATAAAATCTCCTGTCTCTCTCTATTATGGAAGACTATAATAGCATGTTTTGACATCAGATGCCAGGTTGTGTAACAAAACACAACCTGTGGGTTAATGTGACCTCCTGGCCTGTGGTAAGATACTGTATTTCTCAGGGTTCTCCTGAGTAACCACTAGGGTGCAACAGATTGTTGAGCAATGTGTCCATTAGAGACACTACTCCCCTGTTCAGTTGAATTCCCTGTATCATTTATTCTCTGCCTTCCTTTTCTTCTTTTCCACATCCTTGGATTCCACCAACTAGATCCTATAAAACAATATATACTCTTGGAAAACATCTGAGTGTAAGTGAATCTGAGCATTTCAAACCAGTGTTTTCCAGGGTCACCTGTATATATATTAGAGGAGATTTACTATGGAATAGGCTTGCCCAGAGGCTGAGAAGTCTCTCAGTCTACTGTCTATAAACTAGAGAACCAGCAAAGACAGAGGTTTATCTCAGACTGAGGATTAAAGCTGAAAACTAGGTAAGCTGATGATGTTACTCTAAGTCTGGGGCCAATGACCTGAGAACTAGGGGAACTGCAGGGAGATCAAACCAGTCAATCCTAAAGGAAATCAGTCCTGAATATGCATAGGAAGGACTGATGATGAAGCTGAAGCTCCAATACTTTGGCCACCTGATGAGAAGAACTGACTCATTGGAAAAGACCCTGATGTTGGGAAAGATTGAAGGCAGGAGAAGGGGGTGACAGAGGATGAAACGGTTGGATCTCCATCGGCATCGCCGACTCGATGGACATGAGTTTGAGCAAGCTCAGGGAGTTGGTGATGGACAGGGAGGCCTGGCATGCTGCAGTCCATGGGGTCGCAAAGAGTGGTACATGACTGAGCAACTAAACTGAACTGAGTGGTGGTAATGGTGACCTCCTCCAAAAGGGCTTATGCCAAAACTGTTTAATTCAGTGCCCATAACCCCTTGGCAGCAACTGTCAAGCCACGCCTCCACTGGAGACTGCTGGACACTCACAAGCCGGCCTGGGTCAGTCTCTTATGGAGTCACTGCTCCTTTCTCCTGGGTCTGGGTGGGCACAAGGGTTTGTTTGTGCCCTCCAGGCTGTAGATTATCTGTTCGGGGGCTATATGGTGGGGCTCCTATACCCTGTCTCCCACGTTTGCTGCAGACAGAGCCCCTGTCCCCATGACAGGTCACTGCTGACCCGTGCTGCTGCAGGAGGCACTCAGACACTCAAAGGCAGGTGTCTCAGTCTCTAGTGGGATCCCTGGGTCCTGGTGCACACAAGGTTTTGTTTGAGCCCTCCTGGCATCTCTGGCGGGTATGGGGTTTGATTCTAAGTATGGTTTCACCCCTCTGGGCTTAAGTCAGGACTTCTCTGAAAGAGTTGGCTCCAAATCACAATAAGGAGTAAGAGTGGGGGGCTTCCCTGGTGGCTCAGTGGTAAAGAATCCACCTGCCAAAGCAGAGACCCGGGTTCAATCTCTAATCTGGGAAGTTCGAACATGCCCCAGAGTGACTAAGCCTGAATTGTGCTCAAGAGTCTGGAGGCCTCAATTATTTAAGTCTGTGCAAACATTATTGTGGTTTTGACCCATGAATTTTAGATCATTATGTACTGTGCCGTGCTTAGTTGCTCAGTGGTGTCTGACTCTTTGCAACCCCATGGACTGTAGTTGCCAGGCTCCTCTGTCCACGGGGATTCTCCAGGCAAGAATACTGGAGTGGGTTGCCATTTCCTTCTCCAGAGGATCTTCCCAAACCAGGGATCACACCCAGGTCTCTCACATTGTAGGTGGATTCTTTCACTTCTGAGCCACCAGATCATTTTATGTAGGCTCAAACACATCTTTATTAATCAAGATAGAAACCATTACAATCAACACATTTTTGCCAATGAGTAATAAATTTCTTTATTCTTGTAGTGTAAAAAAATCCATGCTTCAGAATTCAATGAACTCTTAGAAAGCAGTTTCTGCCTCCTGCTGGTTGTGGAAACATTTTCCCTGAAAAATATTGTCAAGATGTTTGAAGAAGTGGTATTTGGTTGGTGAGAGGTCAGGTAAATATGGTGGATGAGGCAAAATTTTGTAGTCCAATACATTCAATTCTTGAAGCATTGGTTGTGTGGTCTGCAGTCAAATGTCATTGTGGAGAAGAATTAAACCCATTCTGTTGATGAATGCCAGCTGCAGTCATTGCAGTTTTCAGTTCATTTCATTGATTTATTGAGCATACCTCTTAGATGTAATGGTTTTCCCAGGATTCAGAAAGCTGTAGTGGACCAGAAGGGAAGCAGACCACCAAATAGTGATCATGACATTTTGGGTGCAAGTTTGCATTTGAGGAGTGCTTTGGAACTTCTTGGTCTGACCACTGACCTGGTCATTGTTGGCCATTGTATAAAATCCACTTTTCATCACAGGTCACAATCTGATTGAGAAATAGTTCATTCTTGTGGCACAGAATAAGAGAAGAAGACACTTCAAAAAGACAATTTTTTAATTTTCTGTCAGTTCATGAGGCACCCACTTATGGAGCTTACTCACCTTTCCAATTTGCTTTAGATATCCAATGGCAATAGAATGGGGGACATTGAGTTCTTTGGCAACTTTCCCTTTAATTGAACTGAACTGAACTGAAGCCCAGAGGACCAAGCCCATCCCCACTGCATTTGCCTTCCTCCCTTTAATAGACTCATGATCTGCTCTATTTCTGATGTACAACCTAAGTAACAGTTTTATACAGATAGTTTATGTTGTTTCCTTTGGGAATGACACCATGGTGTTTTTGCAACTGCTTTAATTGTGGGACATTTTGATTACACTGATCTGTTGAAAGATTCCAAAACAATGGTGCTTTCGAATTTTGTTATAATTTTCCAATCTCAGGAAACATTAATGGCTTCCCTGTCTCACATGCATGGTTATAACTGACCCTACTTTGTGTGGAGGGAGTGTGTGTGCCATGCTTAGTCATGTCCTACTCTTTGTGACCTCATGGAGAGTAGCCCTCCAGGCTCCATTGTCCTTGGGACTTCCCAGGCAAGAATACTGGAGTGGGTTCTCATTTTCTTCTCCAGGAGAACTTCCCAACCCAGGAATGGAACCTGAGTGTCTGGGATCTCTTGCTTGACAAATTCTTTACCACTGCACCACCTGGGAAGGCTCTATAAAGACCCTATTAGTTAAACCCAGTCAATGTTCCCAGAATGAATCAATGATTGAGTCTTTGACACCCCTCCCCCCATGTATCCCTTCTGAATGACATCTGATTCTATTGATTCATCTGATTATAGGCAAAGATCCAATCAAGATTTACCTGATGGACATTCAGAAATCTAACCAAGCCGTCATTTTCTGATTGGATGGTAGTCGTTGGGGAAGAGGTAATTAGAAAGGCCTATAAAAACCTGAAGCATCAAAGAAGAGGTGCAGAAACTTCTTCCTCTGGAGCCACTGCCTGTCTTCTCCACCAGATCTGACCTCTGAGTACCCTGCCAACTTCAGCAGAGCTGGTAAGTTACAGACCTCAGCAAAAGACGTGTGTGCTAAGTCACTTCCAACTAAGTCACTATCAGACACTTTGAGATGCTATGGACTGTAGCTCACCAGGCATCTCTGTCCATGGGATTCTCCAGGCAAGAATACTGGAGTGGCTTGCCACACCCTCCTTCAGGTGATCTTCCCAACCCAGGGATCAAACCTCAGTCTCTTATGTCTCCTCATTGACAAGTGAGTTCTTTATCGCTAGCACCATCTGGGAAGCCCTCAGCAAAGGACACCCTCATCTTAATGGTAAGGTTTCCATTGGTGACAAGCAACAATGGATGTCAGGGAGATTTTCCTCTCTCTTTCTTTTCATATGTATACAAATAAGGCTATCATTTAGTCTCTAAGTGTAATTTTTCTTTAGTCCCAAATATCTTGATCTGTGCTTTCCTTTATGTCGTTTAAAAATATCAGCCAACTAGATTTTATGTAATGAAAACATCTAATTATTTGGAATTTTATTTCTTGACATTAAAAATTGTTTGTGCAAATGGCATTCACTTTTAGGGGTATCTGTTGCCTTTTTCCAAGGCTATTAACTGTGGAAGCTGATGTTGGAGGCTGCAGTGGGTCTCGTGATGCTCTATTCCCATAGTTTTAAGGTCTGAAAGTGAAAGTCATTTAGTCATGCCCAACTCTTTGCCACCCCATGGACTATACAGTCCATGGCATTATCCAGGTGGAGCAGGTAGCCTTCCCTTCTCCAAGGGATCTTGCCAACCCAGGGATTGAACCCAGGTCTCCTGCATTGCAGGCAGATTTTTTAACAGTGAAGCCACAAGACACTAAATGAGTGTCTAAAAGGTTTTCCCCTGAAAATATTGCAGTCAGCTTTCAGGGTCCTGGTATCCACTTCCCAGTGCAACATAAATTTAGCACAACAGTGGACAGAAATGGGTGGGCTAGTGGTTGGTTTCTTCCTCCTTGTTCCTTATGAGATGCTTGTTTTGATGCCCATAGGGGTGGGGCTATGGCTTTTTACTCACTGAGACCAGAGTGAAGCTATGAAAAACTGAGGCTATTCTACAACTGCCAGAGCAGAGATTTTCACTCTGAGTTGGTTCCTCTGAAGAGTGGGGAGACAGATGAAGGTATGTCCATGCTTACCTGAGAAAGATCACTCCTTCTCTGCAAGTTCTTATAGGATTCCTTTAGGAGCAGATTCAGGATGAGTGTCCGGAACACCCTGAGACTCCTGAACCTGGCAGGGAAGAGCCTACTAACCGATGAGGCCTTGGCCATTTCTGCTCTGGAGTATCTGCCCATCGAGCTCTTCCCCCCACTCTTCATGGAAGCATTCTGTGGAAGGCACAGAAAGACCTTAAAGGCCTTGGTTCAAGCCTGGCCCTTTGTCCGCCTGCCTCTGGGGGCCCTGATGCAGACACCTCACCTGGGAACCTTACAAGCAGTGCTGGATGGACTCGATGTCCTGCTCACACAGAAGGCTTATCCAAGGTGAGTCAGTTGCAGGTAACCTGGTAGGATGTAGGCAATCCTGAAGACACAGGTGACAGTAGGAGAGTAAATGACAAATGGATGGACCAGTGGCTTCTGATGATGGGGGAAAGAAACAGAGACTTCATCATTGCTGAGTTCACTTTGCTGGATGCCTTCCAGCACTGCAGGTGTGCCTAAGATGCAAGGAAATGTGAAAGTACACGCCCCAGCCTCCTCTCAGGGATGCCTAGGGCACTAGAGTAAAAAGTTAGGGAAAATGACAAGGGAAAGGAGATGGAGGGATGTGAGGCAGAGAGGGAAGAAGAGGGCAAGGAAGAAGGTGATGTCAGGAATGTGAAGTAAAAGCTGAGGTGTGAAGTCAGAGTGTTGCCTAATTTTGATGGATCTAAAAACCATAGCTGCCAATCTGCTGATTCCCCACAGGAAGTGCAAATTGCGTGTGCTGGATTTAAGGAATACTGGCCAGGACTTCTGGAGAATGTGGTCTGGATCTAGTGTTCATGTGTCCTCAAGCTCATCAATGGCACCAATGGCTGAGGATGGGTCAAGGATCAAGAAGCCCTTGGTTCCCTTCGAGGTGTTCACAGAACTTCACCTCAAGGAAAGAACCATGAGTGAATTCCTCACTTACCTCCTAAAGTGGGTAGAGCAGAGAGACCCTTTCATACACCTGTGCTGTAAGAAGTTGAAAATGGTTTCATTTCCCATGGATAATATTATGAAGGTCCTGAGCATGGTGCAACTGGACTGTATCCAGGAGTTACATGTGAATTGCACCTGGCATCTGTCCACTCTGGCCATGATTGCTCCTCTCCTGGACCAGATGAGCAATGTGCAGAAACTATTTGTCTCCCACATCCACCTGCCTGATCCTGAGGAGTGGAATGAGCAGCACATTGTCAAGATTACTTCTCAGTTCCTGAGGCTGCACCACCTCCATGATCTCCATCTGGAATCCCCCTTGTACCTTGAAGGCTGCCTGGACCAGATGCTCAGGTGAGTGTGGAACACTGACCAGCAAATAGAGGGGAAAAACTGGAGGTAGTGACAGATTTCCTCTTCCTGGGCTCTAAAATAACTTCAGATGGTGACTGCAGTCATGAAATCAGAAGATGTTTGCTTCTTGGCAGGAAAGTTATGACAAACCTAGACAGTGCTTAAAAGGGAGAGGCATTCCTCTGCCCACAGAGGTCCACATACTCAAGGCTATGGTCTTCCCAGTGGTCATGTACAATTGTGAGAGCTGAACCATAAAGAAAGTAGAACACTAAGCATTGATGCATTTGAACTGTGGTGCTGGATAAGACTCCTGAGAGTCCATTGGAAAGCAAGGAAATCAAGCCAGTCAATCTTAATGAAAATCAATCCTGAATATTTGTTGGAAGGACTGATGCTGAAATTGAAACTCCAGTATTTTGGTCATCTGATGCATACAGCTGACTCATTGGAAAAGTCCCTGATGATGGGAAAGATTGAGGGCAGAAGGAGAAGAGGGTGTCAGAGGATGAAATGGCTGGATGGCATCACTGACTTAATGAACATAAACTTGGGCAAACTTCAGGAGATGGTGAGGGACAGAGAGGCCTGGCATGTTGCAGTACATGGGATCACAAAAAGTGATCAAATGAACAACAATAGCTTAGGTGACTTGAAAATAATTAAGGTAATGGAGCATTGAACATGGAAAATTCCATCAGTCATGAGCATTTGTTAACAGAAGCTCCATGCTCACTGGTTTTGTGACCACAGTGAGCCTAATTCCCCATCTATAAAGGTCGCTTTTTTTCTCCATGTGTGTATACTAAGTCACTCAGTCATATCCAGTTCTTTGCGATCCTGTGGACTGTAGCCCATCAGGCTTCCCTTTCCATGGGATTTTTCCGGGCAAGAATACTATAGTTGGTAGCCATGCACTCCTCCAGGAGATCTTACTGACCCAGGAATAAAACCCCTGTCTTTTAAGTCTCCTGGATTGGCAGGCCAATTCTTTACCACTAGCACCACCTGGGAAGCCTCAGATAAGCTTATTAACATATGGGAAATGCATGACTTTGGAGATGATGGTAATAGAGTAGGGATCAAAAGGGATCATTAATATTGGTAGATGGTTTACAGACAAGGCAGGGATATAAGTGAGCCCGTGCAGATTGGCATCCTCAGTGGATGTTGTGTGATCTCATCCAGGTTGGTCCTCTATGCATGTTATCCAAAAGCCTCACCTGCCTGAGATGGCTGGCTGGGGCCAAAGCATGCGTGAAGGAAGCGTGGATTGAAAGCATTTTAAGTGTATCTCTTACTATTAAATTTCAGTGATACCCACCCTCAATTGAAACAAGGTATCAGGCTCTCCTCTGAACTTGTCTTAGTGCATCCCATTATCTTCATTCATCCTCAAACAAAAGTAGAGTAAGTTTTTCTCTGCTTGTCTAATGAGGAGAATTTTCAAGACTCTATGTACTTGACCCAGTCACACAGAAGGATAAATGACTCTGGCTACAATAAGACTGGCCATTCTGGGTTTCAATCCTTATCAGATCATCATACCAAACCTGGGCTTGGGCAGATCACTTGTCTCTCACCTTACGGTCAGCTTTCACCTCAAGTTTCTGAGACCTAATTTCTCTTTTTCTCCCCAGGTGCCTGGTGAACCCCTTGGACAACCTGTCAATAACTCACTGCCTCCTTACAGATTCAGACTTGACCCATCTGTCCCAGAGCCCGAACATCAGTCAGCTAAAGAGCCTGAATCTGAGTGGGGTCACCATGACCTACTCTAGTCCTGAGCTCCTCCCAGCTCTGCTGGAGAAAGTTTCAGCCACCCTCCAGGAGCTGTACTTAGAGCAATCTGGGATCAGGGACTCCCACCTCGAGGCCATCCTACCTGCCCTGAGCCAATGCTTCCAGCTCACATCCTTCAGCATGTGTGGGAACCTCCTCTCCATGCCCATCATGGAGAAGATGCTGCGACATACCTCTGAGCTGCCCAGTTTAGGTTGAGAGCTGTACCCTGTCCCTCAGGAGAGTTTCAGCTCTCAGGGGATCCTCCAACCCAGGAGACTTGCCCAGTGTCAGACTGAACTGCTTGAGATTCTGAAGGACTTAGGATGCCCCAGGACCATCTGGATTTGCTTCACCCCCTGTCCACACTGTGGACATAACACATTCTGTCATCCTGAGCCCATCATATATGGTGGTAACATTCCAGCCTAGTTGGGTGCATCATCCCAAGCTCTCTGCTGAGCACTTGGAAACTGAAATCTTGGACAAGATGTATCGTGAAGGGAAAGCAGGCATATGATTTCAGACATCTACTCAATGTGAATGTGAAAAGGAAAGGTGATCCTACAGGGGAGCATGATTGCAGGGGGAAATGTAGTCTCCCTGGTAATGCAATGCTTGTGGACATGTGTCCTGTAGTGTCAGAAACCTAAATTTATTTAGGTGGATTCGAACTTGGGATTCACATGTTGCAATTGTCCCTAGATTGCTGTTGTTCAGTTGCCCAGTCGTGTCCAACTCTTCGACCCCATGGACTGCAGAATGCCAGGCCTCCCTGTCCCTCACCATCACCTAAAGTTTGCCCAAGTCCATGTTCATTGCATCGGTGATGCCGTCCAGCCATCTCATCCTCTGATGCCTTTTTCTGCCCTCAATCTTTCCCAGCACCAGGGACTTTTCCAATGAGTCAGCTGTTTACATCAAATAATCAAAATAGTGGAGTTTCAGCTTCAGCATCAGTCTTTCCAGTGAATATTCAGGATTGATCCCCCATAAGACTGACTGATTTGATCTCCTTGCTATCCAAGTGACTTTCAGGAGTCTTCTCTAGCACCACAGTTCTAAGCCATCAATTCTTCGGGGTTCTGCCTTCTTTATGGTCCGACTCTCACAATCATACATGACCACTAGAAAGACCATAGCCTTGACTATGTGAATTTTGCCAGCAGAGTAGTATCTCTGCCTTTCAACACACTGTCTAGGTTTGTCATTATATATATATGTATATATATATATATATATGTATATATATATATATATAGAGAGAGAGAGAGAGATTTATATATATGTGCATGTAAAGAGATTTATTTCAAGGAATTAGTTCACAGGCTTGTGGGGGCTGGCAAGTCTTCAATCTGTAAGGCAGGCGAGAGGCTGGAAACTCAGTCTGGAGATGAGACTGCAATCGTGAAACAGAATTTCTTCTTTGGGAAATCTCAATTTTTAAGGCCCATTTCAATGGACTGGATGAGGCCCATCCACACTATCAAGGACAATCTATTTTAAAGTCAAATGACAATTGACATTAATTACATCTACCCAATACCTCCACAGCAGCACATAGATTAATTGAGGAGCAGGTACTTTAGCCAACTGACATAGAAAACTACCTACACATCCTCTAGACCATTTCTCCTGCTTCCTGCCTGAAACCCTGGCTCCTTGGACATCCATATCATCCTTTCATTCTGACCATCCTCTTCTCCTCTTCCAGTCCATGGCCTCCTGTTTCCAGGCTCCATCCCACACCACGAAGGAGACCATGGAATCAGACTCACTTCTTTAATCCTGGGCCTATAGCTGAAAATTTCCCATCAGTTATTTATCAGTGTACTTATATAAGGCACAGGTGGTGAGCTAAGATATCCTAGGATCCCTAACTTTCAGCCCCACAAACCTACCACTCACATTTCAGAAACCAAACCAACAGTAAACATAGTCTCAATACAACGACTACATCCTTGAACTGTCTAAACACCTAAAGGGGAGCTCTTGTAATATGCCTGTGCTTATTCCATCATGAAATGGAATCCTAACAAAATAATTATCTTTGGGAAACTAAGCTTGGGCACTCGCCTCCAGGGTGAGACTCAGCAGGCTGAACCCTGAATCTGCTGCAGGGTGAATATTTCTGGCAAAAAATTTAGAGTTGATTTTTCAGGCCCTTGGACATTTGAAGGGCTAGGACACAAGTCAGTAGGTAAGACATTCTCTCTCATTTTATAGGAACCAAAATATCCAGTATTAATATACACAGCTGTATCTAGATCTCCGTATATCCACTCATCCATCCACCCATCTTCCATCCATCCATCTCTGCACAAACATGTCCTTCAGCTCCAATGCAGTCTTACTTACTTGCCAATAAAAATAAAGTCTTCAAGTTTTCCCTTGTTGACACACCACACCACATAAAAACTGTCTTTTACTCAGCAACACAAATAAAGCCCCATAGTCATATTAAGCCTTAAGGCGGTCCCCACCCCTCAAACTCAGAGTGGTGAGAGGTATCTGAAAGCTTTTCTGTCACTCTTCCCAGTCCAGACTTGTTTTACCCAACTCGGGGAAGACTGGGGCTCTAAATCACTTTCAGAAGATTCTGGCTGCTTATCTCTCCCAGCTTCAGAGGCCTTGGCAGCACCTCACTGCTATCACAGAGCCAGCCCAACTTTTCAGAATACCCAGGAAAGCAGATTCTTGAGTCTAGTCATGTATTTCCCCAGACCACAGCCAAGTACAAAGCAGTGTTTCACTCCTGCTGCAAGCACGCTGAGCACCTGCTCTAGCCCACACATGTGCTGGGCACTGGGGACATAATACAGACCTCCCCAAAGTTTCCAGTCTATGGAACCAAATGTCTAACCTTTTCTGAGAAGCAAACTCTTTGGAGGTCAATGCGACGGTACCTCACCCAGTTGGGAGTATGATTGAAGATGGGCACTCGAGGCAGAGAAAACAGTGCAGGCAAAGACCTGGCAGAAATAGCAGCCGTGTGATTTCAGGCCCAGGGGAGGGGCAGAGCATTGCAGACCGGAGGGGCAGAAAGGTGAGGCCATCAGCAGGGCCAGCCCTAAGGCGTCAGGACCTCAAGGTCTCTCTCTGGAGGTTTTCAGTTCCAGGAGCAGCAGGTTTAGTTTGCATTTTATTTTTCCTTCAATATTGCATTATTTTACAATTTCAGAGAGAAAAGTGGAAAAATCATACCCAAAGATTCAACACCAGCTTGCATTTGNAACTCCAATACTTTGGCCACCTCATGTGAAGAGTTGACTCATTGGAAAAGACCCTGGTGCTGGGAGGGATTGGGGGCAGGAGGAGAAGGGGACGACAGAGGATGAGATGGCTGGATGGCATCACCGACTTGGACACCAGAGTTTGAGTAAACTCCGGGAGTTGGTGATGGACAGGGAGGCCTGGCGTGCTGCGATTCACGGGGTCACAAAGAGTCGGACACGACTGAGCAACTGAACTAAACTGAACTGAACTGGTATATATATACATATATATGTATATATATACTTGGAAATCAGCTAATGGGATTATGGTTCCACATCTCAGGTCCCTGGACAATGGCTGAGGCTATCTGCCTTCTGGGAAGGAGCTGGAAGATAACTTCTGATAGCAATTGCCATGATGATGACAAGCTTGTGTGTAACTGACTCATGTTTAATTCTCTCCCTGGGTCCGAGTTCTTCAGGAGCCCACAGCACCTCCATCAGTGGCTCTCAGACTTGGAAATGCCTCAATATTCCAGGCCTGGTCACCTCCCCCTCTTCTCACATGCTTAGGTTTAGTCTTTTTTTTTTTTTTTAATTTATTTTTATTAGTTGGAGGCTAATTACTTTACATCATTGCAGTGGTTTTTGTCATACATTGAAATGAATTAGCCATGGATTTACATGTATTCCCCATCCCGGTCCCCCCTCCCACCTCCCTCTCCACCCGATCCCTCTGGGTCTTCCCAGTGCACCAGGCCCGAGCACTTGTCTCATGCACCCAACCTGGGCTGGTGATCTGTTTCACCCTAGATAATATACATGTTTCAA